TAAGCGGTCACAAATAGGTATATCTAAACAATTACGTGGCAATCAAAACCAAATATTCAGTGACCAAAATAAAATACATTGGTTAAGCACAGTCATGAACCAAAATCAATGCTAAAAGATAGATTTACTAGTTCTATAGATGATTAGTTCATTTTTAAAGATGTGATTAAATTAAATATTCTGGTAATTTCCCCCTTTTCTTAATGTTAAACTTTTGTGGTAATTTCAACTATGGTAGCAGAAAAACAACTGCTAATCAAAAAGTAAAGTTCTCTAGGTCAGTATAAAATGCTGACTTTTGGGAAAACACATGCAGTTCATCTCTTATAGATGCACTCAATATTACTACTAATAATAGATAATTATTATAGTCTTTACAGAGTGTTAGTCACTAATGGCTTACACAAATTAATCCATAGAAACAAAATTTTCCTGTCATGTAGAATATTGCTAAATTGTAAATGTGAACAAAATTAAATTGTAGAGAATTGTTATAGTTGCTCAAATATGAATAAATTTCTTCTCTTTACTATAGCGTTTGCAGTCACCTTCTAGTAGCTTTGATGACTTGTTGAAGTACTTGTGGGATGCACATCTCTCATCCTTGAAAGATGCTTACAAAATCTTTGAAGACAGGTAAGAATGGATCCCAAGTTATTTCTACTTAATACGGCAAATAATTTTTCATCTTATTTATGCCTTTTTATTCATTTTCTAATATAAATCTTCCTATTAAATGTTATATTTAATCATTGGGGATTTTAATGATGATGTGTGATTATTTTAGTATGATCAGGCTTAAAAATTGTTTTATGAAGAAGGGGCAAAAATTTGAGAAAAAAAATCTTGTACCAACCAACCAACCAACCAACCAACCAACCAAAAAAACATACAACCAATTTCTCTCTATTAAAAAAAAAAAAAGAAAAGAAATTATCACTGTTTCTTTTAATCATAGGCACATAATATGGTAGCTACATACTTGGGGAAGAAAATTAAGTAGCATCAGGGTTTGCACACTAAATAGCCTAGAAGATTATCAAGCCACTCCACAGGTACACTTAGAAGTATTATACACCTAGATTTGAGAGTGTAAGAATGATTTGTGTCAAGATGTGAATAGCACTGTATTGGTTAATGTTCTTCACAGAGACAGACCCAATAGGAGATGATAGATTTATAGATAGATGATAGATAGATATAGATATTTTGTAAGGAACTGGCTCCTATGACTATGGGGGGTGGCAAATCTATAATTTGCAAAGCCAATGTCCAGTTCAAGTAAAAAGGCTGCAGCTGCTATAGAACCAGGAAGAGCCTATGTCTCAGTTTGAAGGCCATCAGCCAAGAGAATTCTCTCTTACTCACCAAAAGATTAATTTTTGTTCTAGTCAGGCTTTCAACTGATTGGAGGAAGCCTATCCACATTATAGAGGGCAAGTTGCTTTACTCCGTCTACAGATTTATATGGTAATATCTTCCAAAAATACCCTCACAGAAATACCCAAAATAATGTTTGACAAAACATCTGGGCACCCTGTGGCCCAGCCAAGTTGGTGCATAAAATCAATGATTACAGACACTATTTAGGGGGTGGAGTCAATTCCCAAGAGTGAAGTATGGGCTAGAAATCTGGGTATAGTATAAAACAGGAACAACAACAACAACCAAAATCAGGGGTCATTGGCATTATACAAGCAAATTTGTAAATCCAGGCAAGAATATTGGGTACCTCATATTCCACTGGTTGTTGTCTGTCTCACGAACTCCATCATCCAGTAAGGTAAATAAATCACCTGATTAGCAGATTCACAGCATATGTCCTCCTTTACCTATTGGTTTCAACAACTAGGTATTAAATTGGGCAATCCAAACAGTGATAAACTCAGTTTTCTCATCTTTGAACTTGTAATAATAACAGTACATACTACATAGGGTAATTTTGGGGATTACATCTATCTATGCATCATGTTTAACTATCATCATCACAAGAGGCAGTAGAGGGCAGTTGTAAAGAACATGAACTTTAAAGCCAAGTTGCTAGGGTTTCAGTCCTGACTCTGCAATTAATTAGATGTGAGGCCCTGTATCACATCCAGTTTTTCTCACACGAATGTGAGGCACGATCAACAGCCATTAACCCTCAGCGTCATATGACAGTAAGCGTTGATTGCTCACGTGCCTGAGGCTTAGCTGGGCAGCTCTGCAGATCTTTCCTGGTCTCATGTCATGTTGGCTGATTTTTACCGGCCCCACAGGGGTGAGTGGGAAAGCTCAGCTCTGCTCCACTTGTCTCTCGTTCTCCATCAGGCAAGCCTGGGTGTTCTTCACTGTGATGACAGAATAGCAAGAGAGAGAACCAAGTGTGAAAATGCATTTTAAGCTTATGCTGTGCCAAGTGGGCTAATATATATTTTTTAATTTTTAATTGAAGTATAGTTGATTGACAATATTGCATTAGTTTTAGGTATAGAGCAAGGTAATTTGGTTTTATAATATATGTATATAAATATATATATATTTATATACATGTATATGTACATAAATATATATTTATATATATGTATATGTACATATACATACATATGTATCTATTATTTTTTATTCTTTTTCATTATAGTTTATTACAAGATATTGAATATAGTCCCCTGTGCTAAACAGTAAATCCTTATTTATCTATTTTATACATGGTAGTGTGTATCTGGGGAAGGGGCACTGGAAAATGACAAGCCAAAAAACAGGCACATAGAGAGTATTGAAGAATTGAGGCCATGTTTACAATCTGTACAGCCTGGGAACTTCCTTAAAACCTCATGAGTTACTTTCCTTAGGTAAAAATAAATACTAGGAGTTGTTTCTTTACATGAGACAATACTGAACCCTGTGTAGTCTACATATACTTAAATAAAACTCTGTGGTCCTGGATCCGCAGATTGGCTGGTACATGTATATATTTTATGTTTTAAAATATATTTTAAATTAAAATGAGCCTTTTAAGGTGTATTTTTCTTTTTGCTCGGACATATTTTAACTGATTTATTGGTTGAATTGTTCAATAGCACATTCGATAGAATAATGTGAAAGGTTTCCATTGAATTTCACTTGTGCTCCTATGGCCTCTGTGTCTTGATCTGGTGCCCACATCCCTTTCCCCCTTTCCTAGTGTTGCTGACTCCCTTGCAATTTGTTTAACCCATTGTTACTAGGTCTGTGTGGCTATTGGTCAAAATCCTTATTAATTCACATTTCCTTTAATCCTTACTTCATAATCAGCTGTGATGTGACTAAAAATAGTCAACTGTGAATCCAAACCAAACTCTTCTCTCATTAAGAGTCCACTGTATGCAGTCTTCCACTTCTGGGTGTTAGAGGCAGGGAGGAGCCTGTGTGCATGTGAATGAAACACAGCAAGGTTTCTTCTCTGGGTTATGTTATGATTTGCTTAACATTGACAAACATGATGCAAATGTTTTCTGTTTAATAGACCCTACATATGTACTTTGGAAACAGAAAAATTAGAATATAACCTAATTAATAGAAAATTGAATATAATCTAACAAGAAAACAAACTTTTAAATATATGAGTAATATAGTGCTTTGGGAATATAGTGGAGTAGGAAATAGTTGATTCCACCTCAGGTGGGATGGCAAACTTTGTGAAAGAGGTGACACCTATGATGAGACTTAAAAGAGAATGTAGCTGGTGAGCAAAGCAGGGAGTAGACAGTGTTTCAGGGGGAACAACTTCGTTCAAAACCTGCAAGTTGCTCAGCAGTGGGTGGGGACAGGAGCCATGAATTATATAGTTATAAAATTAATTACTACACCCTAACCTTTCCACTGTAATAACTTGTTCCCCAAATAGGTGAGAGTTTGGTTTCCTGGCAGATTTCCTCCACTAGAGAAAAACCCATGTATTCAGAAAATCAGACCAGAAAATCAGACACCTGTCTCTCTAGGGTGTTCAGTGTTTTAGGGGTCTCCTGACCCCAGGAAATCAACAATTTTACTAAGTCTGTCTGAGTCTAGCAGAGATTTTACCTTGGAAACTTTGATTTTTATCTGCACATTTCTACTACTTAGTCATAGTCTAACACCTGGTTATATGATTCCCAAGGTATAAGGTATCTGGTTAATAGAGATAAAAAACTCAAAATAAAATATAAACAATTGATGGGATAGTCCTTTCCAAATTTAAAATTTTAATTAGTTATATCTTCAAAGGCAGGCACTCAAGCCATCACATTCTAAAACTAAAAACTACATTCTTAGTTTGTTGGCAGAAGGTGATCTTTCCTAGAAAATGACGAGGCTGAAATTCTGAGTGGAGTAATTATAATTGTACATGTTTCCACTTGTCTTTTAGGTTAGAATATTATTCTAAACCAGAAGCAGATTTTGGAAGAGATTGGTGTGTGGCTTTGGACTATTTAGCTGCAGCCTGCTTTCCTACAACCTTTATTCGAGTATCTGAGTTCCAGAAGGGCCTGCCACCACGAGTGCTTGTTGATGGGGATAAAGCCCCCTTCATCAGTGACTTTACTGACTTTCAGAACACAGTCCTGCTTGGTCTAAATCTTCTTCACCAAGTGGATAACGCTACAGGTAAAGGCCTTATAAACAATACCTTAAAGAAAATCAATATTGTGTTGAATAGATAAAGGAAGAAATAATGATTATCAGAGATATATGTTGTTAAAGCGCATACTCTCAAAGAAAGTCATGGTTTCTTAAGGGTATCCATTACACACATTTTGGTCCTTGCATTCATGGCTTGTCCTTTCTTATGGGTCCTGTTAGACTGCACCCCACAGTCCTGCAATCCTTGCAACAGCCCAGCCATGTCAGCTACAGAGAGTTCAGCCAGGAAATCTTACGAAGTCAGAGGCAAAGGGCCTGGGGCGACACCCCACGGTGGTACAGCCAATAGCCGGCAGGACACAGTAACAACCTTCGCTACACAGGGGAGGAGGAGGCTATCAGTTATAAGGGACGTGACATCAGAAGGGCTCCTTGGTTTCCAGGGGGATTGTTGGAATATGCCTCCCCTCAGCTCTTTGGGTTAGAAACTTGCAAGGGCCACTGTTTCCTGTTTCCTGTTTCCTGTACCCAACATACTGGAGCCGTTCTGGTCTGAGGACTAGAACAATCATTAGCTGAGGGTTGAGCTGATCACAAAGGTAGTTACTGATTAAAGTTTCAGCTTAGGAGGGGGAGGCAATCATGCACATAAATTAAGGGTAAGGCAGTGCTGGGTGGAGTAAGGCATATACAGACAGCAAGAGAGCAGCCATCTTATGGGGCCTGACCATACAGGTCCTTATCTACCCATGAAGCTACCAGACTACTTTGTGTAATTTATTCATCTACAAACACAGATATATTCTTTTTTGTTGTTGTTGTTATAGTATTTTTTTAAAGAAAATCCTTAATATCACTCTCAGATTTAGAAAAAAAAAGAAAACCTGCCGTGATTAATGAGAAAACTAGCAAACTGACTTATGTGAGTTCCCTCCATCCAGCCTTTCTAGTCATGGCAGAAGTATTCTGCTTCAGCCCCTCAATTGTAGGGTTTCCTAGCAGAGTGAAAACCAGAAGAAATCTTTAATTGCAAGTTTGAATTACTACATCATCCTAATTTTCCAGACATGCTCTTATGCAGTGAACCAAACTTAAAACATAATTAAAATATTAGTATTTTTAAAACAAAAAAATGAATCTGAAAGATTTAAAAGACATAAAAGCAAAGTAAACATTAAACTATAAGTTTTTGAACTCTTATTTGCATTAAGTAGAGTAAAACACCCAAATGTCTTAGGGGCTTCATGCAACTGAAGTCTTTTCTTGCTCCAGTAATGGTTCCAGGGCAGTGTTCCCAGTCCGTGGCAGCTTTCCTTCACACAATAAGTAGCAGACTGAAGATCCTTACATCTGTGGTTCTTCCAGCCCCTGGCCTCTACATTATTCACATTTCACCAGCAGAAGGACACTATAGTGTTGGAGAAAGCCTGGATATTTCTCTCACTTCATCTCATACTCTATTGGTATGAAATAGTCACATTGTCCCATATCTGGACACAAAGGGGGCTAAGGAATTAAATTGTTGCCCAGGAACCATTCTTGTGTGACAAATCTATACCATGAAAGGAGATGCATGAATTTAAGGAGTCGCCTAGTCATCTCTGCCAAATTATTACATAGTATAATTGCATTCTAGGCCTGGATGGTATAAGCTGGCTCTTACCTGTTAAGATGTAAAGGGTAAAGAACTGAGTCAAGAGTTGAAAGTCCTTGAAAGCTTGGAAGGCCCATACTACAATATTTTATTAAAAGATTCAATTTTATTTAAATTTAGCTTTGGATTTAATATGTGGTTTTGAGTTACCCTCACAAGAAAAAAATTGGTGATTAAATATTGAAAACTACTGATTTAAAAAAAATAAACCTTGAGGGCTTCCCTGGTGGCGCAGTGGTTGAGAGTCCGCCTGCCGATGCAGGGGACACGGGTTCGTGCCCCGGTCCGGGAAGATCCCACATGCCGCAGAGCGGCTGGGCCCGTGAGCCATGGCTGCTGAGCCTGCGCTCCGCAACGGGAGAGGCCACAGCAGTGAGAGGCCTGCGTACCGCAAAAAAAAAAAACAAAAAAAACAAACAAAAAAACCCTTGATAGCATAACTGTTTAGATATCACATAATAAGGCATTTACTATTATCTATCCATTATTCTCATGGCCAACCACTCTCCACATTCCCACTGACACTCAGACTTCAGTAAGAGTACCAAAGGCCTTGGAATTTCCAAATAAGCAGAGGATGGGGAAAACATATATTAAAAGCAAAGCATAATTAAAATACAAATAGTGACATTCAAAAATGACCATTTTAAATTAATTCAATAGAAATACATATTTACATTCACAAAAATACTTTCAAAGTATCATTTAACACTTTTTAGTCTCCAGAAGTATTTTATGATGTTCTTCACAAGGAACCTGAGTTATTAAATTCATTTGAATAAATAAGTAAAATCAAACTTTTCAGGCCTCAAGTTAGCTCTTTAACATTTTCACTGATGATAAGAATTGGCATGGAGGAGTTTTTTTGTTTCTAATTATGTAAAATTCTCAACAACCTCTCCATCTTCAGTGGCATCAGCTTTTTTTTTTTTTTTTTTTTTTTTTTTGCGGTACGCGGGCCTCTCACTGTTGTGGCCTCTCCCGTTGCAGGGCACAGGCTCTGGATGCGCAGGCTCAGCGGCCATGGCTCACGGGCCCAGCCGCTCCGCAGCATGTGGGATCTTCCCAGACCAGGGCACGAACTTGTGTCCCCTGCATTGGCAGGCAGACTCTCAACCACTGCACCACCAGGGAAGCCCCAAGTGGCATCAGCTTTTAATCCTTGACTACACATATTCTAACACTAGAGAACTCATATTAATGCTGAGAAATAATAGTAGGTAGTAAATAAGTAGTAAGAAAAGAAAGCTTGCATAGGTTTTTTGTTTTTTTCATGGGTGATATTGAAAATAAACAATGAAGACTGAGTGAAGGTTCAAAACTGTCAGAAGCTAGATTCAAGGTAATGAAATTCAAAGTGCTTTAAAAACTTCTTAAACTTTACGTTTCAAGGCTGAGGCCAGCTGACCCCTTCACTGCCCCCATCCTGACCAAGAAGGTCATTGCCTCATCCTCCTTTCTTTGAATGGGGACAACGGTTTGCTGAAGTGTGATGCGTGAAGAAGTGGGAGAAAATGAGCTTGGGCATCTCAAAAGCTTCAATTCAGATAGCAACATAGGATGCTCCTGAGCTTACCTCTTTCAATAGACACACCTAATCTAGGGCTGCATACAAAACAATTCCTTCTGGAAAGAATCCAGAAACTAGCTGAGTGACTCCTACACATCAGGCGAATGAGAAAAAAATCCCACATTGAAACAGGAAGGAGGATTTGTGCTATAGACCCCACCCCTGGCACAGTGACACATGCTTCGGAGGGATCTTACAACTCCCAGATTCTCCCTGAGTAGTGAAGGGTTTGGATCTGGCATCTCAACTTTTAAGACTTCCACCTGAGAGATGGGCCACCAAAACATCTAGCTTTGAAAGGCAACAGGGATTGCATCCATGAGACCCAGGAGGCTAAAGTGAACTGAGAGATACTTCTCAAAGGCCTTGTGCAAACTCACTGTGGTAAAGCCCCTCAGAGCCCAAAGCAGAGGCAGCAGACTGAAATGGGCCCAGTCTTTCCATGAAAGAGGCCTATTTGCTTATCTTAATAGCTGCAGACTGAATGGCAGTCTTTTAATTTAATGCACATCATGGGGCTGGCTACAATATTCCCCAGAGACTGGAATCCCATTGGGTGCCATCTTCACACTCTTCCTCTGTCTCACTCCAGATTGCTGATACATCCTGGAAAGGAAATTGTGCACACATTTGGTGCCCCACATTTTTACAGCTGCCATGCAGGGGATACCCCTTGAGTGCCTGGCTGCCATCTCCAGCTGAGTTTAAGTTCATGGGTTCCACAGGACTGTAACAAACAAAATCTATTGCCTGAGGATCCAGCTTACAATCAGCCTACATCTAGGTGCTACCTGAGATCCTCCCCTTTGGGACACTGACAGGTCTTGGCACACCCTCAATTACTGGGAGACACTAAGAACAAAAAATAAATTGCTTAGACAATCACAAAGATTGAGAAACATCCAAGAGCTGGGTCATGGTTAAATGATAAATTTCATGTCCTATACAAGGCCACTTCTTCAACACAGGGAGGGATGGCTGTTTTATACAATGCATAGAAATCAACACAGAAAGTCAACGAATGTGAAGAAAAAAGGAACATGTTCCAAATGAAAGAACAAGATAACACCTCAGAAGAAAACCCTAATGAAACAGAGAGAAGTGATTACCTGATAAAGAGTTCAAAATATTGGTCATGAAATGCTCACTGGGGTCAGGAGAACAATGCATGAACATTGTAAAGTAACAAAGTAAAAGTAAAAAAATTTGACACAGAGAAAATACCAGACAGAAATCACAGAGCTGAAGAATACAATAGCTGAACTAAAAAATTCAATAGAGGAGTTCAACAACAGACTGTTGAAGTGGAAGAAAGGATCAATGAACTCAGAGACAAGGCCATGAAATTCATCCAACTAAAGAAGCATGGAATTCCCTGGTGGTCCAGTGGTTAGGACTCTGCACTTCCACTGAACTGCTGGTGGCATGGATTCGACCCCTGGTCGGAGAACTAAGATCCCAGTGTGACCAAAAAAAATTAAACAGAGTAAAGATAGATTAAGTTCCAAATAAAATGAACCTAAGGAGACCCACACCAAGACACATTATAATTAAATTATCAAAAGTTAAAGACAAGGAGAGACTCTTAAAAATAACAGAAGAAAAACAACTTATTATGTAGAAGGGAACATCCATAAGACTGACAGCAGGTTTTTCAGC